AATCTGCAGCCTGTGGTGACCAAGATCTCTGCTGGGACCCCGACTGTGGCTGGAGCTCAGGGCTCACCCCACAAGCTGGTCATGCTCATGCGTCTCCTCCACCCTCGTGCCTCCAGCACAGGCCCCTCCACACCACCCTAGAGCTGTGATGGCGCACCTGCTGGGCAGAACGGATCATCCTGCGGGCCTCATCCTTGATGCTGGGGCTGTCGGGGGGCGGCGGCTGCACCAAGGTGGTCACCTCGGTGCCCTGGAAGCCAAAGGTCAGGGGCCAGCCCAGGTCAAGCTCAGGCACGGCCTGGTCTGACTTCACCGGCCAGTATGTACCTGAGGAGCCCTCCATGTCCACGTCGAGAAGGCTGCCTTCGGGGGGCTCTCGGGCAACATACTGTGGGGGCCGAAGGTGTCGGCTCACATGTTCCAGCTCTTCAGGGCACAGAAAGTCAGGTGCCCCCTCGGACGCCAGGAAGCGGCTATAGGCCTCCGAGCCACCTTCAGCCAGTGCATCCACCGCCAGGCGGTAGTACTCTTTGTAGTGAGGCGGCAGGTACCCGGGTGCCAGCGGGTTGTCCCCCTGTGAGGAGCTCTGGGAGCGACGGGCCATGTTGGGGCCAGGGGCCTGGAGGGGCAGGGAGACACATGACTAGGGGTGGGGGCACTGGGACCACTCCTGCCCTCAAGCATGGTCACACTGTGGAAGGGGCCATTAGGGAGTTGGCTAGGCTGGAGTTCAGCCCATGCCCAGGCTGCCTTCCAGGGCACCAGCCGAGCCAGGCTCACAGAGGACAGCCCAGCCCTAGGATGCCCCTAGCTGAGGAAGCACCGGCAGGTATCCCAGGCTGGGGCACAGGTATCCCAATCCTGTCTCTCCTTCCTCTGGGAGGCTGAGGCAGGAGAAGTGCTTGAAGCCAGGAGTCTGAGACCAGCCTGGGCAACACAGCAAGACCCCATCTCTACAAAAAATTTTCAACATTAGGCAGGTGTGGTGGCGCGTGCCTGTAGTCTCAGCCACTTGGGAAGCTGAGGCAGAAGGATCATTTGAGTCCAGGAGTTGCAGGCTGCTGTCAGCTATGATTGTGCTAATGTACTCTGCCTGCGTCACAGTGAGACTGCATAGCTACAAAAAATAAAACCAAATCCTCTGAAACATTTCATGACTCTCGGCTTAAAGACAAACATAATCTGGGCTACATTCATCATCATAATATTCACTTTTTTTTCTAAGATGTTCACGAGCTCCTGGCACTGTGCCTACAGGGCAAGTTGGTGCTGCCCATGCTGCCTGTGTGTCTCTGACTGCCTGGGAGACCCCGAATAAATCGCTGCACCTCTGTGGCCTGTTACATCTACTGCACAGCACAGCTGAGGGTCCACATGACGCCACGCTTAGCCTAAGGTGAGCGCAGCAAACAGGGCTGTGACCACCCTCCTCCAGGAACAAGGAGGAGGTCCACACTAGTGGACCTGGGCCACACCTTCTCCCCATCCTCAGAGTTTCACAGTTGGGTTCCCACAGCCCATTCTCTGACCACCCAGCTCTGGAACTGACCCCTAGACTCTGTCCCTGCCTACCAACCACTCTCCTTCCCTTGGCCCACCCTTGACCTCTCTCTTGTCACTGTCCCTCTTAGATGAAACCTCCCTGGGCCACAGCCCCCAGATCTGGCTCTTCACTTGCTCAGAGTCCTGTCCCCACCAGCCCCAGTCCAGGGCAGCAGGGACCTTTCCAGGTCTTGGGCTCCCCACCACCATCCACGCTTGCCTGCCCCACAGCCCACCCTGTTCTCCAAAGGGTCCCTGCAGGGGGCCTGGCCTCTCCAGAAAGGTGTCTGATGGGGACCTCTATAGGGCACCCAGGGCCCACATGCACATGGCCACAGAGCTACCTGGGTACCTCTCCCTGGAAGGAGAGCCCTAGGGACCACTCAGCCCATCCCAATGCTCCTCGGGTTGCCGAGGGAGGCAGGACACCTATCCCCACCTAGCACACAGGTTCCCGAATGTAGGCCTTGGCTGGGGAGGCAGTTCAGCCCAGACAGAGGAGTGTGCCCTGGGGCGCTGACAGGATGGGTGCTGGCCAGCTGGACTGCATGGGTGCCAGCAGGAGCCACCTGGCTGAGAATGTTGGGGTCAGGAGGCAGCCGTCCTGCGTGGTGCCCCTGGGGGTGACATGGAGTTGACACGTGGGAAATACCTGGTGCCACTCAGCTATCCAGCCCCAGATGCCAACCGGCCTGGGAGGAGCTGTCCCAACATTTCTTTGTTGAGGCACTGTCCTCATGGTTGACATGTGGGGCTGGTTAGGGCACACTGTCTTGGTTGTGCCGGGAGCAGATCAAGGCTGACCACATGCGGGTGAGGGGCAGGCCTGTCTGGCTGGGCGGGGGCGCCCACTCACCACTGCCAGCCTGGCTGTAGAGGCAGTGTCTGATCACACAGGGCGTGGGGGAACAGCCCTGCTGACCTTCAGGGGCACTTCCCGATGCTGGGGGGACACTCTAGAAAGGACCCCCACTGTCCCTTTGGATTTCACAGGGTAGGGGAATCAACAGTGTCCAGGCTGTGTGTAATGGGGGCAGGGACGTCCGGACTGTGGAAACCCCTGTGGCCAGAAGCCCTCCAGCACACACCACCGTCCTCACAGAGTGATGCCAATGGCTTCCTCCAATGGCTTCATTCCTCGTGTTGTCTCCTTTCATGGGTCTGTGTCTCCCCGGCTATGGACTGGGCCGCAGCCACTCCTGAGCCTGAGATGGAGCACCCCAGTGGCCTACATGTCCACACATTTGTGTAGCAAACGCCTGCCCAAGGGAGGGCGGGCGGGCACAGAACCCACCCATGGCCAGTGACTCAGCACGAATCCACTCTTCTGCTGACCCCTGACCTGTGACTTGAGGTCAGGGCTCTCAGCTGGACGTCAAGGACCCCACCCTCTCCACCCTGGCAGTAAGTGGGGTATCCGGAAGGAGGACCCCATGGAAGGATCCAGAGTTCCTACACGACGTGGGGTTAGCCTGTGCCAAGTTCCGACGGGCACAGGAGGGCGAGGAGGCTCTAGGCGGCGGAAAGGTGGGGTGGGGAGGACGGCACTCACAGCCGGAAGTAGCTCAGTGATAGCTTGCGGGGTGGGCACCCCAGCGCCCAACGGGGTCAGTGCACCCTACGCGCTAGCGGCTGCGGCGGCTGGGTGCCCCATCCGCTCACCCCACCCCAACGTGGGCACGAGGGGCAGCACCCCCGTCGCTCGCCCTGCTCTCCACGCGGGGATCCAGGCCGCACCCGGCCACCCCGCTCCACAGCGGCCGTCCCCAGGGAAGGGTCCAGGCCGTGCCCAGCACCCAGACGCCAACTGGGCCGCGAGGGCAGGAGCGAGTCGAGGCGGCCGGGCAGGAGCGAGTCGAGGCGGCCGGGCAGGCTCGACCCGGGCCCCGGGCCCCTTCACGTCGGCTCTTCGCGGGCCGGCGCTCGTGTCCAGACCCGCGCAGCGGCGCCCCCGTCCGCGCCCCCGCCCCGCGCACGCCGCGCGCTCCAGCCCCACCGCCCTCTCCGGAGCGCGCGGCCCCGGCCCTGGGGGGCCGCACCGAGGGGCGCCCGCCCCGCCCCGCCAGGCCGGGGGAGGGGGCCCTACCTGGCCAGGTGCGCGGGGTCTCGGCACAGGGGCAGCAGGAGCCGACCGCCGCCCAGCGGCCTCGCGGTCCGGTCGGTCCGGCAGCCACTCCCTGCGCGGCCCGCCCGCCGGCCCGGCCTGATTCACGCGCCCGCCCCCGCCCCGCCCGGCGCTCCTGCCTCCTGCCTGCCCGGGCAGCACCTGGGGGCGGGGCGGCCCCACCCGCGGCGCGCCCGCATTCCTGCGCCCTGGCCCGCGCCCCGGCCCTGCGCCCCGGCCCGCCCGCACCCCGCGGGGACCCCGTTCGGCGCCACCGGAGGCCGCGAGGCGCTCCCTTCCGAGACCCCGGCCCCGCGAGCCCAGCCGCTGACCCCAGGTTCCAAGTCCCAGGCTGACCCCCGACCCTCGCCCCGGAAGTCGGGGCGACGCGGAAGTTCCGGCTCGGTCGCTAGGAAACGAGCCAGCCCGACGCCAGGGGCGGGGCCGGGGCCTCCGGGCCGAGCGGGGCAGGCAGGTGAGGCAGGTGAGGGCGCTGGGGCGGCGCCGAGCCCCGAGAGCGCCGGGGACCCCTTCAGCGCCACCGGCCTCCTTCCGCACTGGCGCCCACACGGAGGACCCCCAGGCCCCGGCCCCCCACACGCTGATGCCCGCAAGCACCTGGGGTGCCCATTGTTCTTCGTCGTCCCCGCACACCGACGCCCACCCGTGTAGGGGACACGGCACATGCCCCCCTGCACAGACGAACCCCAAATGACCTGCCCCTCATCCCTCACGTGCACCGACCCCGATGCACACGCGGGCCTGCGATGGCGTGTTCCTCATGTACACCAACCGCTCAAGCACAGAAGACCCTCAGGAAGGCAGAGCCCACAAGCACACTCAGTCCTGCACACCAGGCACCCAGGAACATGCTGACGTCTGCACACGTAGAGGACCCCTCCTGCATATGGGACCCCCGACACTGACCCCACAGGCAAACAGGGGATGCCGTATTCACACTGACTCAGAGAGCACAGGGGACCTCCCTCACACATATGGAACCCTGGGTGTACACACGGGGACCCTACAGAAACCAAGCCCCACACGGACAAGGGACCCAGCATGCACATCAAGCCCCACATGCCAGGTGCCCCCCACCCCCGCCATGTACACAGCAACCCCCCCATACCACCCCAAGCTGCCCCTGGTCCTCCAGTCCCCCCAGGTTCCCCTCTGGCCCTCCCTTAGGGCCCCTACCCCCACTTAGACCCTGCCCTGCACTGGATCATCCGTCCAAACCACCACACCTGGCCCCCATCACCCCCACCCCAAGAACTGGCCCTCCTGAACCCTTTCTGCGGTCATCAGTCACCTTCCTCTTTGTCTCTCTTACCATGTGATCCTATTTTGTTTTGAGGGTCACTCCCATTTCATGTGTTCCATCTCCAAACACTAAGTGATACCCCAGTGGTGCCAGTATGTGGGAAACATGGGTGAGGGGGTCAGACCAGTGCCCAGACAATTGTGCTGCAGCGGGTGAGGGTCGTGGGGCACCGACGAGGACCCCAACAGGCTGGGGCAGGCAGGAGGAGCCTCCCAGGGATGAACTTGGGGGTCAGCAGTGTGGACTAGGGAGAGGGGTGATGCTCCAAGGCCTGACAATAGCATCTGCCAAGGCCAGGACCAGAGAGGGTCTCAGAGTGTGGATGGGTCAGTGCCTTGCGTGGCTGGGGAGCAGGCTCAGGGGTTGACTGGGTTCCCAGGGCAGTGGAGAGGCATGGAGGCTTCAGCAGGGGGGCTGTGCTCATGCCTGTGGTGAGAACCCAGCAGCCTGGAGCAGGGAGGTGAGTGCTGGACTCCAGATCCTGGGCCTGGCAGGGGGATGGGCTGAGCCTGGGGTGGAGGGCGGGCAAACCGGGACTGGGGGACTGGGGGATGGGCTGTGGTCAAGTGCTCTTGCCAGGCATCCTGGCTCAAGCTACTGGGCACACACCTGGGGCAGGCAGGCAGGCAGGACATCAGCTGGGAAGCCTCAGGGGAGCCCGTGTTCCTGCTGTCATCCACTCAGGCCCGTGTGGTGTGCCCTGTTCCCCACTGCCCCTTCCCTCTGCCACTCTGAGCACCCCGTCTCTGGTCCTCCTCACCCCCCAGGAGAATGCACAGTAAGAAGAGGGGCCCAAAAGCTGCAGCTGGAAAGTGGCAGACGCCCCACCCTGGGCCCAAGTCGAGAGCCGTTGCTGGTGAGTGCACCCTCTGACTTCCAGGGCACTGTCACCCAGACACTGGCCTGCCAGACCCTCTATGCAGCCACAGAGGGACACCCCTCTGAGAAGAGGCCTCCTTCCAAGAGTGGCTTTCAGGGGATCTCAGAGTTGGGATTGGGTGTGACTGACTGAGGGTTCGGAGCCCATTCATTCATCTGAGACCCTGAGCCTGAATCTTACACCCCTGGGGTTGGGGCGGGGCCTGGGGACAGCACTCAGAGAAGCCCTGCTTTGGATCACATGGAGGTGGGAAGGGGGCAGGAGCGAGTGGAAGGGGCTTAGGTGGTCAAAAATGGGTTTTGAAAGAGGGCTTGAGCCCGAGTTGGGGATTGTCTGTCTAAGTGTGTGGTCCACTCTGCCTCTGCTCTGTGGGGCCGTCCCGTGCCACCCTCTGCCTGCTGCCTCTGCTCCCAGGCCACCTTCTCCATAGTCACTTCCAGGTTGGAAGGTGACAACTCACCTGGGTTGGGTTTTCCTGTGGGTCAGGAAGGAGACTTCCCCACTGCGCCCCGCCAGCCCCACCTTCACTGTTGTCCCTCCCTTGCCCCGACCCCCATTTATTCTCTGTGCTGGCTGTGAACACTTTCCAGGCTGCAGATCTGGGGTCCTCCAGCACGCAGGCCTGCACTGGGTTCTGTGCTTGCCAAGGGAGCCCCACCCTTCTTCCCAGACTGCCCCTCTGCTTAGAGTGGGCCTGGCCCAACACCCCCGGATGCCAGAGAGCTCCCAGGTTCACAGGAACAGGTGGGGTGATGGCGACCGCTCCTCCATGCCAGGCTAGGGTTAGAGTCTAGTTCCCCAAAATAGCCCCAGCCGCGTCTGAGGCGGGCAGCCCTCCTGGAATGAGGATAATGGGCCCAGGCGCCGCGTGCTGCTTCCGCAGTCTCTAGCCCTGAGTGCACTGCACTCCAGTAAACAGGGGGCAGGGCAGGTGGACCAGCAAGCCAGCCGGGAAACTGGGGTGCGGGGGCGGGGGGCTGCGTTCAGTTCTGCTGCTACCTGCTGACTCTGCACACCCAGGCCCTCACCCTGCCCTGCAGCCCATACACTGCCCTGGACAGTCCTGGCCCCACCTGCCTGGGTCTGCTACGGGGACACCTCTGTCCCTGAACAAGTATCTGCCCTGAGTGCCTGTTTCCACCAAGCACTGGGCAGCCTGGGCAGGCTGGCTGTCCCTTGGTCATGCAGTGCCGTGTGGCAGGAACCCACTTCACTTGGCAGATGTGAAGATGGGCCCACAGATGCCTGCATCCAGCCTGGCATCCTGGCCCTCCGCAGGCATCTCTAGGTTGCTGGAGCGGCCACACACCAACCCAACAGTCCGGGGCCCCTCCCTGCCACCCACTCCAAGCCTTACCTGGCCTTGGGTCTGCAGTGCTTCGGGCCCCTGACTCCGGAGCTGCTCCAGGGTCACGGCCAGCTGCAGCCCCTCCACGTGTGCCCAGGCCTGCTCCTCCTGCAGCTGCTGCAGCCACAGCTGCTCCTCCTGCAGCTGCTGCAGCCACAGCTGCTCCTCCTGCCACAGCTGCATCTGCAGCTGGACCTGCCGCCAGCGGTCCTCCAGCAGCAGCTGTTCCTGGGCCAGGCACAGCTGGACCTCATGGAGCCTCAGCAGTTCAGGGCCCAGGGCCGGCATGGGGCCCCCCGCTCCGCAGCCCTCCATGTGCCCAGCGAGGACCAGCACCAGCTCAGACCCCGGAACAGTGGCCTGCTCTGGCCTCAAGGCTGCCTGTGGCTGCTCTGGCCCAGCCACCCTGGGGTGTCCCTGAGGAGCTTGCTCGATGCTGGTCACGTGCCCTGTAGGGGCCACCCCCGCTTCCCCCTCAGGGCCCCCTGGGGTTGGGGGCAGGGGCTGGACCTCAGGGCCCTGCTGGCCAGCTGCCGTCTGGGCCCTGCCCGCCCTCCTGGCCCGGGCTTTGCGAACTCGACCTCGCTTCCCAGACATGGCCCTGGCTCCAGCGCCTCCTTCACCAGGTGTCTGCTCCCCAGGGGCCGTGGCTCATCGACCTCGGCCTCAGTCAGGCCAGCTCAGAGGGCGTCCTGGGAGGCCACGGTGGCTGTGCGCTCCCACGCCAGGCTCGGCCCCCTGTTCCAGGCCCTGCCCCCTGGCTGGTGCCCGCGGCACCACAGCTCGGGACTCTGGCTCTGCCTATGGGCCTCACTAGCCCCACTCGGCGGGGCCTGGCCACACCAGGGAGTTTATAGGGACTCTGCAGCTCGGAGGCTTGCCCGGGCTGAGCGGCTGACTGACGCGCTGACACGGCGGGCACGGGGCTTTACAGGCCACAGGCCCTGCTGGCGAGACTGGGAGGGAGGCTGAGAAGCCGGAGGAGGCAGCACAGCAGTTGGAGCGCCGACAGCACCGGGCATGCCTGGTCCTGCCCTGGGCGGCACCAATGGCCCCCGCCCCCGCCCTACCCCAGCTCCCCCGGTCCCACATCTGGTCAGGGAAACTCAAACTGCAGGCCACAGAGCCTGGAGCTGCACCCTGGCCGCTGACCCTCAGGGCCCAGAGCCTCACTGGCCACAGACAAACTGAGCCCAGCTGGCCTCGGGAACCCACAGCCCCAGCCCACCCTGAGCACTCCGGGGGGCTCCAGGGCAGTTAGCACGCTCACAGGAGCCCCGCTGGGGTTTGAGCTTGCCCATGGTGTTCGTTCGGTGGAGACAAAGAACCCAGGGACCTGGGGGAGCTAGGGCAGGACTCAGGCCACAGTGCTGTGGCTGGCGGGAGAGCCTGGGCCCTTGGAGACCCACAGAGCAGACTGGGAACTGATGTGGGGCCAACAGAAAAGATCGGGCAGTGATGGAGGGGGGGCGGGGGCTCTTGGTGCCATCCCGGCTAGGAGCTGGTTGTCTTGCCCACTGCAACCAGGGCCTGAAGAGCCTGGGCCAGAGCTGCCTTTGGGTCTCAGGACCAGAGGTGGGGGTGCAGGGCTAGCCCAAAATGCTGGCATCCCCTGGGCTTCTTGTCGGGAGGGTGGGCTCCAGGCGGCCTCCTCCCTAGCGTTTCCCCAGCCTGGGGCCGCTGACTCACACCCACGCCCAGGGCCCCATCCCAGCCGGCTCAGCCACACTGGCCAGACTGGTTTGCCTGGCCCAACCCTGCCCGGAGCTTACTCGCTCCTGTCTAACACCAGAAGCTCAGGAGCAGAGAGACAGCCATCTGCCAGGGGAGCACTGAATTGAACACAGGGACAGGAAGGGCCTGGGGGAGGGCAGTGGCGCAAGGTGGGGGACAGCATCAGGGGTGGGGCGGGGACAGAGGCAGCACTGCCAGCCCACAGGGTCCTCCAACCAGAGGTGCAGCCTGCCCACCCTGGGCCCACAAGAGCCCAGGCCTGTTCCTGCTGGCTGGCCCTGGCCTGTGCCTCCCTGAGCCTCCCCCGACCCCACTGTGCAGAGGAGTGCGTGCTGGGGGAGGAGCCCATGCTCCTTAAGGTTGTCCTCGGGCAGAGACCCGGGTGGGGCCTCCCTAGCGGCCAGGACCTACGGCCCTTTTGGTGCCTCTCAAGGCTGATGGGGCGGGGGGCCCTCACACCCCAAGCTCATTGACAGCCCTTTTTCTCTAGGGAAACCTGGGGAGAACCATCCACCGCAGAGGAAAGCGGGCCAGCAGGCGAGGCAGCCTGAGCCTGCCGAGAGCCCCGAGGCCCCCACAGGTGAGAGCCGGCGCCTTGGGGGTGGGCGGGTGGGCCAGCTGGCAGCAGGGGGCTGCCCTGGGCCAGGACACACGTGGTGTGGGGCCACGCTGGCATGACACGTGCACGTGTGGGTGAGTGCTCGGCCCAGGCCTGCGGCACGCATGAGCACCCTCGCGGGGGTCGGGGCCGCCTCCTTCCCGGTTTGCTGCTTGCCGGAGGCAGGGCGGCAGGAAACGGGGCCGCGAGCCGCCTTCTCAGGCTCCGCGGGTCCCACCCCGCGCCATTCCCCACCAGGGTCGACTCCTCAAACCCTCCTGTCCCAGAACTGCCCTGAGGCTCAGCAGCGCCTCCCAGTGTTGCCAGTCCCCCCGCACCCGCCAATGCCCTCACTGCCCATTCTGTCTTGGCCGCTGCCGACCTCCTGCTTCCGCGCTGGTGCCGGGCACGCCTCACCCTGGTCCCTACTGCTCGCTGCTGGGTGCCTCTCCACGGAGCCTACGCAGCCCCATGGCCCACATCAGGTCTGACCCTGGTGCGTCCCTGCTGGTCATGGGCCATGCTGGATGCAGCCTCCAGATGCAGGCGGGCACCACCAGCTGGCGTGCCTCCAGCCCAGGCCCCGGCATCACCCATCACCTGATCGCCTGTGTACCCCCCACCCCACTGGGGGTGCCGGGATAAAGCCTGACCCTGTCCTAAAGATGGAAGTAGTGACAGTTGTTTGATGAGACTCTGACAGGAGGGAGCATGCGTGGAAAGGCCCGCTGGGATGTGAGCGGTGGAGCGGGTCCAGTAGCTGGGGATTTGGGCTTGGCAAGAGGCAGCAGTGAGAGGAAGCAGGGAACACAGGCAAGGCCAGGCCCTAGGAAGATCTGCCACTGAGGCCAGCACTGAGGCTCCGCCCGGGACAGTCTCCAGTTCATCCTGCGTCTTGCTGTCGCTCTCTCCTGGTGGGAGACCAAGAGGCAGCTCTCCTGCTCTTGGTGTCAGGGAAAGGCGGGGGTGCCCCCGTTTTGCTTTCTGTAGTTGGAGGTGGACTCCTAGCCGTCCTCCAGTTCAGTCCAACATCACTGCCTAGGTGTCTTGGGGGCCTTGGCTGCTCTGCAGGATGTGGGGCAGACAGGAGCAGGGGGCCCCATGACCCCTGCCATGGTGACTCTTTTTGCTACAAAGTGGGTTTCCAGCTCGGGAGCAGGGCTGCTGGGGGTGCTGGGACCACATAGGTGGGGTTGGCAGGCAGGCTTCTATGCGTCTGCTGGGAACGTCTATTTTAGCCGGAATAGACGGCGTTTCCTTCGGAGCAGCAGGGGCCGAGTGAAACTGCTCAGCCTCCAGGTGGGAGGCTCAGGGCTGGGCACTTAGTGTTGAAGACGTGCCAGGCTCCAGCCTGCGGCCGTGGCCACCCAGCTCACGGGCCCTTGGAAGAGTCCATGCCGCTGTCTCAGCGCTTTCCGTGCTGTTGGGGACACCTGGCCGCCATCACATGGACCCGCTATTTTTGCACTTGGAGTCTATTCCAGGAAGTCCCTCCAGACAGAGCACGCCTTCCCAGCCTCCTCCTCTCGGCCTGCAGCCCTGCTGTCGCCACACGTCTGGTGATCCGTAAAGAGGGCTTGTCCACGTGGGTGGCCCTGCTCTAGCTCAGTGTTGGAAAAGGAGCTCCTGGTGGTGTAGCCACCGTTCCTGCCCCCATGCCACTCTGCCCCGGGCCTGCTGGCTGCCGTCCATGATGCAGTCATGATGTCACCTGCCTGTCTGCGACCCCGACTCTCCCTAGGGGCGTCCCCACAAGATGCAGAGCCTTCCCTTGAGCTTGGCATTCCCTGCTCCTCACAGGCCCATCCCCAGCCTTTCCCAGCTGTCCGCGTCACCGCCGTCCTGAGCTTGCCCACTTCAGGCCCTGGAGAGCCAGCCCAGCCCTCACCGGTGTCTGGAGTCAGTGACACACAGAGCTCAAGCGGCTCTTTCCATCTGCAGGAAGCGGGTGACCAGGTGCCCCCAGGGGGGCTGTCCCTTGCTGCTGCCCCCCAGGACCTCCCTGCATGGGACTACGGCATGGGCTGTGCTGGCTGCAGTCTCCGTGCAGGGGAGGTCAGGCCGGAGTTGGCGCCAGCGTGTGGGAGCCCTTTCCTGCCTTTCCTCCGCATCAGCGCCCTCCCCAGGAGGCGTCTGTGCCGCAAAAAGGGGAGAATGCGATGTGGTCACTTGGCCCCAGGCCTCACCTGTGCCACCTGGGCCAGGCCCTGCACACACCGCATCCACCACACAGTAGATGGCGGCTGGCTGCCCAAGGCTGTGACTGCGCAGCTGGGAAACCCTGCCTGGAAGGCAGCGTGCTGGGAGCTGCTTTCTGAAGGAAGAAAAGCCTCCGCCAGGAAGGTGTGGCTGAGCCCCAGAGCCCCAGAGACCTGTGGGAGGCTCCGTGGGGGGCCTGCCAAAGGCTACATACCTACCCTACTCCCCACACCTCCTGCACAGCGGATCCTCCAACCGGACAGTGTGGCCCAAGCGGCCCAGCAACTCACACCTCAGCCAACAGCCCTGGCCACACTGGGGACGGTGAGCCTCTGGGCCTCTCAGTCAGCAGGTGGGGCAGTGGCCCCAAACGTGGCCTGCATTGCCACCACAGTGCTAAGGGGCCTGCCAAGCACGGGGCCTTCTTGCTGGACAGAGGCACAGGTGCAAACATCTGTCTTTTGCCCCACAGTGTCCTGGCACAGTCCAGATCTGTTGAGCCTTTCGCCGGGTGCTTTTCCCCCACCCCCAGAGCTCCCGGGACTATGAACATGCCCAGGAGATGGGGTCCCTGTGCCTGTGTCCCTTTGCTGCTGTAGCAGCCACCACAGATGGAGGGGCTTCAAACCACACCTACCAGCTCTGCAGGGTGGCCGCCTGGCATGGCCTCGTGGGGCTGACGTCGAGGAGAGCCAGCCACGCTGAAGTCTCCTTCCCTCTGGCTCTCCACTTCTGCCTCCCTCTCCCACTGTTTTTGGTTTGGGAGTTTGTTTTTTCTTTTTTTCTTTTCTTTT